AAGAGCCCCAGATGAATAATGGTTAAAGCGGAGAAACAAATGAGTGCTACCCGGGGATGGGGGATCTCACTGCACGCTTGGGGTTTTTTGTTTTTCCTTTTTGGTTGTTATTTTTGCAGTTAATTAAACCTCCCTGCAGGACGCTGCTGGAAGGACAATCGGATTAAGGGGATCATGCAGCAGCACCCCACGTCTCTCTTTCCCTGCGTCTAAGAGGCTTTACGGGGAGCATCTTAAAACCTGGGAGGGGGGAAAAAAATAAAAATCCCACTGACCCACCTCCCCCCATCCCTTTCAACTACAGGGGAGCACAGCATCACCTCCACGGCTGCAAGCCTCAATGTCAAAGAGTGCTGGTACAATGTGACCCTAAAGCATCCCGACACCAACCCTGGGGACGCAGCTCCAGATTGGGGCGCATCTCAGGCAGAGCGTGAAGGCATATGTGATCACTGGCTGCAAGGGCGGGAGGCTTGAAAGCTCTTTAAAGCCTCGGGATATTTAATCTCTGCTCAGAATAATGCGGCAAAAAAAATCCCATAAAAAGGTCTCTGCAAGAGGAGGTCACAGCCTGGGGCCCCGCTCTGCGTGGTGGCTTTGGGTGACACCGCTGCCACCACACACATCTGGATGGGGTGGCACCCACCCCCTCGGTCTCCCTAAAGACAGGTGGAGAAACCCCCAGATAGTATTTATTCCAGATGATAAATCACACCTCCTGAAATACAGCAGATTTGGAGAACAGCCCCCTGCTCCGCAGCGTCGGTGAGGGGCCCTGCTGGGGCCAGCCCCCAGGGATGAGGTTTGTGGTGCATGGTTGCCATCACAGAGCACAGCCTGCCAGCCCCGAGCGCTGCAGCACACGCAGAGCCAGACCCTTCCCTGGGGCCTGCAGGGACTTTTCCCTACACCTGATTTCCACTGGTGGGCTGAGAACTGGCCAGACCTCACGCCACCACCGAGGCACCTCCGCTCCCCGTGCAAACGGCTTTAGCATCAGGCACACAGAACAAACGGCTTCCAACGTGCCGAAGCGCTGCCCCTCTCCCAGAAAAGCAAAACCCCGTGCCACAAACCACCAACCATTGGTGCCCTGCTTCTTTTTCCCCCCTCCCACCCCCCCCTGCCTTTCCCCATGGGTCGGGGTGAGCTGCAGGCTGTGCACGCAAGAGCCGCGTGCCTGCACGAAGCAGCAGCAGCCGCCGCCGCGCTGCCCAGCCAGCGGAGGGAATTGGAGTGGAATAACCTGCCCGCCGCGGGCACGCAGGCTGCTGCTGCAGCAGACGTTCCAGGCAGGGACTCCTCCTGACGGGAAAATTGCAGTCACGCTCAGCCCAGCCGTCTCCTCGGCCATCTGCAGCGCCGCGGCGCCAGCAGCATCCCGTTGAGCATCACTGCAAGGTGCAGGCTGTGGGGGGGAAAGGACAGAGGGGACGGTCAGGTCAGCTGGCCGGGAGGGCTCTGCAGGCACAGAGCTCGTAGATAAAAGGATGTGGGGACTCACAGCTCCGGACGGAGTCTGCCAGAGCCTCTTTGCCCATGGACTGCGCCTCCCGCATCTGCACGGGCAGAGAAACAGCCACCATCAGTACCGCAAGGCCACCACCATCAGCCCCCAAACACCAATGTTTCCTCCAGCCCTACCTTGATCTGATCCTTCAGGTACTCCGCCCGCGACATCAGGGTCTGGATCTGATGGACAGACACAGGGAGCTCCATCAGTGCGGTGTCCCCGTGGGGTTGGTGGGGTCGGGGCAGGTGCTGGGGCTCACCTCCGCATGCAGCAGCTCCCGTCTCCTCCCCGCTGGCTCTGCTGCAGGGTGCGGGCGTGGGGTCAGCAGGGCATAGGACTCATCCCCTTGACCTCCCCCCTCCTTCCTAACTCACCAGCCAGGAGCAGCAGCAGCTCGCCCAGGCTCTGCTGGTACAGCTCCAGGGTATCATCGTCATCCTTGCCTTCCTCCTCCTGCAAGAGACCCCGGCTATCACCAGGAGAGACCAGGGTGGGCTCCATCCCCATGAGCATCTGGACCCCAAAATCCAGCACTCACCCTCGCCACGGCCACCGAGGCCATCTCCAGTGCAGCACAGAGCCGCGGCTTGTCCTTGGCCATCTCTGCAAGGAGACAGATGGGGAACATCTTCAGCCTGCTGGGCCACCCCACGGGCAGATCCCCACCACGCACGCTGGCTCGGCCCCATTGAACACCTTTGAGGATCTCCCTGGCCGGGTTTCCCTGCTGCAGGAGGTTCTTGCTTTTGGAAGCGACCAGCACCTTCAGCTCCTCCGCTCTGGAGATGTACTGCCCCACCTGTGGCAGTGGGGCTGGGTGAAGCACTGTGCCCTGGGGACACCCCAATGGATGGTCCCTCCCACCCCACACTCACCTTTGCCCGGATGGCTTCTTTGCGACGAGCGTCGCTTTCATCTGGGGACAAAAGGGGGTCCAACGTCAGGGGTGGGGGTGGCAGCACATCCTGGGGGTGCCACAGTCCCATACCTGACCAGATGAGCTCCAACCTCTGCCCCTTTCTATCCCTCCCCACAACCACTCGGGAACGCGGGGACTCACAGTGCAGAGCGGGCACAAAGTACTCCAGAGCTTTGCAGTAGAGACTGAGCGCAGCAGACGCGTCCCCCTCCTGATCCTTCTTCACCGCCTCCACCACCAGGTTGGTCTGGAGGTAATGAGGGCTCAGGACCAGGGTTTGGTCCCATCACATCCCATCGCCATCCACCCCACCACTCACCGCCTTGCAGAAGCTCTCGGGGCCAGGCACGTGCTCCATGTCCACAAAGGGATGGGCGAAGAACTCCTCGAAGGAGATGCGCTTCAAGGGGTCCCTCTCCAAGAGGCGCTGCAGGAGATCTCGGCACTCCGGGGACAGCAGGGGCCTGCTGGGCAGCTGGGCAGGGACAGCGGTGGCACCGGGTGGCACAACCCAAAGGCCCAACCCCATGCCATCTCAACGTTACCTCGATGGCTCGGTCGCTGCGGATCTTCTCCTCCAGCTCGGCAAACGAGCGGGAGGCAAAGGGGGGTCGCCCAAAAAGTGCCTCTGCAAAGAGGAGAGCAGTGAGGGGGGTCACTTGGGGGAGCACCCTGCAGTCTTCTTGGTCCCACTGACATCAAGCCAAGGCTCCCATGGCTTTTCCCTCTGCCCTACGGTGGACAAACAGGTATCAACGTTGTGGACGCGACCAGGGTAGGCATCATGAACACATCACTATGGGAGAGGTTAACACCCAGCACCCATAGGGCTGGACTGCACCCACACCAGGACGGGCCCTCCACAATAAGGTCTGTCCAGGTGCACGTGGTCTCCTAAACACAACGGGGTTGGTCCCCACCTTTTTTGGGACACCGGGGTGCTAGGGGATATTAGGGTGCAGAGAGATGGGTGCACAGAAGAAGGACCCACCGTAAAGGATGACGCCCACTGACCACAGGTCCACCCTGGCGTCGTACTGCTGGCGGCACACCATCTCGGGGGCCATGTAGAGCGGGGAGCCTCGCAGCACGTGCTTCTCATCCCATGGTGACATGTACTGCGCGAAGCCGAAATCTATGGGGAAAGCACGGTCAGGGATAACCTACCACCGCCCCACAGCATCCTAGGGCCGGGGACCTGACCTGCCAGCTTCAGCTGAGGGTTCTCCGGGGTGCTGAGCAGGATGTTCTGAGGCTTGAGGTCCAGGTGGGAGATATTGTGATCGTGGAGGAACTTCAGGGCGCAGGCTAGAAAGATAAGCAGGGAGGTGGGATGCTGGCACCCACGCCAAGAGTCCCAATGGTCCTCATCCCTCAAACCCACGTGGTTCTCACCGAGCTGCTGCAGGAAGATTCGTGCCACCTTCTCAGGCAAGATCCTCCGCATACGGATGAAGCGGGAGAGGTCCCCACCGGCACAGAACTCCATGATCAGGTAGATGTGGTCACTGTCCCACTGCAAGGCGACCCCAGCTGGCCTCACTGCATCGCCCCAGACCCCAAAGGGCCACATGGGACCCTCAGACCCATAGGAAGCTCCAATCCTACGGGATGCCTCCAGCCCCATGGCAAGCTCCAGCCCTATGGGATGCCTCCAGCCCTATGGGAAGTTCCAGCCCTATGGGATGCCTCCAGCCCCATGGCAAGTTCCAGCCCTATAGGATGCCTCCAGCCCCATGGCAAGTTCCAGCCCTATGGGATGCCTCCAGCCCCATGGGAAGCTCCAGCCCTATGTAATTCCCCAACCCCACGGGAAGCCCCCAGCGTCATGGGATACGCCAACCTCACAGGGTACCCCAGTCCTATGGGATTCTCCAGTCCCACGGGATGCCTCCAATGCCATAGGAAGCTCCAGCCCTATGCAATGCCTTTTACCCCACAGGATCTCCCAGCCCCACGGGATTCCCCTAACCCCAGGGGATGCCCCAGCCCCACAGGAAGCTCCAACCCTATGGGATGCCCCCAGCTTCATAGGGCACCTCAGCCCTATGGGAAGCTCCAATCCTATAGGATCCCCCAGCCCCACGGGATGCCCCAAATCCCATGGGATCCCCCAGGTCCAAGGGATGCCCACAGCCCCACCTGGAAGTCCTTGAGCTCCACGATGTGCGGGTGCCGGATGGTCTTAAGGATCTCGATCTCAGTGAGCAGGTTCTCCACCGAGGCCCTGTTGAGGCTCCTCTTGCTCACACATTTGACAGCCACCACCTCGCGCGTGTCCCTCTGCCGGGGGACGAGCGGAGACCACCGTGGAGCGACCCCACACCCCACAAACCTCCGAGATTCCGCCCTCCCCAAGATCTCAAGGAGGGAGAGCCCGCAGGGTGCGAAGCTCCGTGCTCCCGCACCTTGCTGTACGCTTTGTACACCGTGGCGTAGGTGCCGGTGCCGAGGCGTTCGGTGAGCACGAAGCCGTCCAGGCGCGGTGGGGCGCATCCCCCCCCGGCCATGCCGCCCCGCCGCCCGGTTCCGGCTCCGTCCGCAGCTCCGCCCCGGCAGGAAGGGGCGGGTTTGGCTGCCCACGGTGCTTCTCAGCTGGGTAATTGGGATAAGGGGCAGGAGGGTGGCGATAAAGGAGCTTGTATTTCCTTCTACCGGCGTCGCTTCGCTGCCCTTCGTTCTGCTCCGTGCGGTGAGAACCCCCCCCCCTCCTCACCTCCAGCACGCACACACGAGTAAAACAAAACCCCACCTGTCCATCTCCCAGCTCGCACTGATCCCTTCTCTCCTATTGTCCTGCAGGCAAGTTCCAGCCCTATGGAATCCCCCAACCCCATAGGAAGCCCTCAGCACCATGGGATACCGCAATCACTGGGGCACAGAGGCAAGTCTTCAAGGTGGGAACGATGAGCATTATAAATCCCCCTCCTCTAAACCCCCACCTGCTCCCAGGTTTTCCCTCCTGCCAACATCACTCAGGCTGCGGAGCACGTAAAGAGGTCAAAATGCAGCATCGTGTTAAGTGTAGTAAACCAGAGGTACAGTTTTCCGCTCGTAAAATTAACAACAAACTACATGCAAGTTACAAAATCCATCCCCTCCCTCCCTCCACCCCCCCCAGAAAAAAAAAAAAAACAAACAGCAGGATGAAATCAAGTTGTTCATAGCACAGGCCGATAGAAAAGAAAGTAAAATCGAAATTCCTGCTTCTCACCTCCCTGCTACAAGACTGGGTGAGAGGAGGGAGAGACAAACGCTCTGTGTGGCCCGGACAGAGATGGATATTTGCTTTGGAGAACATCTCCCCCTCTCCCCATGTCCTTGAGCGAAGCAGGGAAACTAACTGTCACAAACGGAGGCCAGCTGAAGCTAAAATGCAGATCTCTTCTCATTGGAGTCGGCATCACAGAGATAACAATGGTACCCACGAAAAGTGCATCGTTAGAAAATGAAGGTTGGGGTGACAATGGAAGGGGAAGCGAGGCAGAGGCGGCCCTTGGGGAGGGCTAATTGCCCCGGAAAGCACTGTGTGCAGCTGAGGAGGCCGCCCCGGCCGCCACGTTCTGGAAGCTCCTGTTGGTGAGGATGCCTTGGGAAAACTCTTCCTGAGCCCTTTGGAAGCTGGCTCCCGTGCGCCGGTACAGGGAATGCACCTGGGATACAGAGCAAGAGAAAAACCATCAGCCTGCAGGTGTAAGGAATGCACACAGAGCCTTCTGTCGCTGGTGTTCTGGTGCGTGAGCTTGAGGTGTGTGTCTGAACAGGGCAAAGCTTGGCAGCTTGCTGGCCACCTCCTCTGCACTGTTAATGTCATGCCTTGATACAGCATCTGCTCCTCCTGGCCATCCTGCTCCCCTTCCCAGAGTGGCTGCTTGCTCACCCCTGAGTCCAAGCAGTCCAGCGCTGACACAGAAAGCACCACCCGCACCATTTTGGGAGTGCTCTGACTTCAGGGAAACGCTGATCCCCAGCCCAAAAGATGAGAGGTGGCCACCCCACGAGCACATATCCCAGCCCCAGGGATTGTGCAGCTCCAAACCACTCACCTGCTTGAGGAGGAAGAGCGAGAGAACCGCACAGAGCGTGAAGAACCCTGCCACCACCATCATGATGATGGCCACAGCCATGTTCCCACGCAGCTCTGACAGCGCCGCAATCCAGCCACTGGAAGAGAGAGCGGGGTAAGCACGCTGTGTTACGGCTCTGTCCCCAGCACACCCCGCTTCCAGGCAGCAAGCAGGTGCTGTCAGAAATCACGACAGCTCAAACACCTCAAAACGTGGCTAGGTGACATCAGGAGAGGCCGGTGTGGCTGAGAACTGGATGGCAGATCTGGAGCCCAGAGCTACGTGTCGTGGTGACAGCTCTCCAAGTGACAGGAAGGGGAGAAAGAGGGGGGAATGAAGTGAAAGGCTGCAAAAAAAAGCTCTCCTGTGACAACTGGCAGCTCCTAAGACGACTCTGGGAGATCTCAGCGCTTGGCTGCGGGTCAAAACACCGAGCTGCCTCCCTCGAAACATCCTCTTGCAGTGCTACAGGAAAGCAGCTCTCCAGCTGAGCAAGCCATGGGCCACCAAGAGGCTGGAGACCCAACAGGATGGTTTGGTTCACTCATGTGCTGTGCAACTCCTTGTTGCATGAACTCCTTCTGCATGAAAAGCAGAAATGCAACACGGTGCACTGCAGCTAAAAATAAATGTGCTGTCTGGCTCGAGGAGACAGAGCTGAAAGTTCAACGCATGCTCTCCAACACTGGCCTAAAAATGGAGTGCCCCCTCCCAGCTCCCCATGATTAAGGGGTGGGGGGAGCACAAGGACAGCTCTGCCCATGAGCTGCTCTGCAGGCAGCGGGCAAAAATAGAGAGCACTTCCACTGCACTCATCTCCTGAAGGCTCTCCGTCGGGGGGAAACCACTGTTAACCTTTTCTCTGTTCCTCACAAGCACCGCAGGAACACGAGAATCTGATCCGCAGCGAGGTGAAAAGAAATGCAGTGCTTTTGTTGTGGGGAGGGATAATGTGGGGGCTTGGACTAACAACAAGAAAGGGGGAGATTCCTCACCCCCCTGCTACAGTCCCCAGAGAAGGGAGGAAGCCTTCCCTACAGCGGGGAAGGCTCTGTTCAGAGACACCATCAGTGTAATCAAAGGGATGGGAAACGCTTAAGAAAAGAATTGCAGAGTAGGACTGGGAGATTCCACACTGTGGCAGCAGCAGAAGTGTGTGTGCCTTCACTGGGACTAAAAGAGGATGAGCAGAGGAGACAGACACACCAGCTGAGACCTGCCAACACTGTGTGCCAGGCGAGAGACACGGGAGAAGGAACAGACAGCTGTCAGCAAGAGAGCAGCACCGGGCCCCACAGCTCCTGACAGCAGGGCAGGGCTGCACAGCACGCTCAGCTGAGCTTACCTGTCTCCCCAGCCAGGGATGCCAACAGCCTGGATGACGTAGATTGCTATTTGGCAGAAGAAGACGAAAAAGAAGACGAAGAAGCTGAAGGAGCTGTCAGACCTGCAGGAGAGACAGCAGCAGGAGTGAAACTCAAAGATATGTAATTCCTGGACAGATTCCCTCCTCGGAGAAGAGGGAACATTTTCAGTGATGAACTTCCTGCTAAAGGAAGGTGGTTTCTGAAGGAACTTGTGCAGTGACAAGACTTCAAATGCATCCACTGCGTACTGCAACGCTGCCCAGGGAGATGGGGTGAAGACAGCTTCCTTAACAGGCACAGCACACTCAGCAAATGACTGCACCAAACAACTTTCTTAAGAAAATTAGGACCCTGTGTTGGCTAGGCCTGCATTTCACAACAAAAAAGGATCACTATAATCAAGTTCCATCAGATATTCCTATTATATTTAGGCACAAGTGGGTTTGATCTGTTCAAGAACGCAAAGAGCTGGAAAAATCCTGCAGGCAATATCGTATTGGAACAGATCAAACCAAAGCTCCTCCCTCTACAAGCTCTACTCCACATCACAGTGAAAAACAGTACTTGCCTGAAAGCCTTGTAGATCGGTCGGTACCAGCAGAGAAAGGCACAAGGGGTGAATAAAACAAACCACAGGATCGAGAGACCGAAGTCTACTCCTTTTTCTGAGTGAACCGTGAACCATGCCAAGCAAGCGAGCAGATTTAGGAGCAGAGTAACCGAATGCACTGCTCAGGATGGAAGAGAAAAGAAGCATCAGTCAATTCCCAGGAAACTCAAATCTCCTCAAGCATCTCTCGCTGGACACACGAAGCTCTGCAAAAGTTCCTTTTGGCCATTTCATTTCCTTTCTTTCATTGGAAGGGAAACGGGGCTCAACCTCAGCACCTCATCTGACCCTGCTGCTTGCAAACCATTCTGAAATGTTTGCAGGGCATCACAGCTGATCACCAACGCAGCTGAGAGGGTTTTGCACCCGATCCCAAAAGTGCACTACCCAGCCACCACCTTCCTGAGCCTCACACTGTGAAGTCTCTGGTAAGCAACCACCAAAACTCTGTGACAAATGAGCTACTCCCAAAGCAAAAACCCGACCTGCTGACCTTGACGTGTCTTCACAGACAAGGAAGAGAGGCATTATTTCCCCTGTACAGACAACACCTGCAGCATTCAGTGCAGAGCAAAGTTCAGCACTTGATTCCGAATCTCCATAGGAAGAATTTTTATGGCAGTTCAGTCGTTACTCACGCATCCACAGGTAATAAAGCATCTTGCATATCCGCTGGTAGTCAGCTGGGATGTCTGCAGAGAAATCCTGATAAAAGCACGGCTTGATTGGACACTTCCTGGGAAGGGGTGGCCAGTTGTTCTGCCTTGCTGTGGAAGGGACAAAAGAACAGTTCTTTGCTTGCTCTTCTCTGGTCAGAAGAGCCATTGGCATGCCTTGTTTGTAAGCTGCACTCATATCTACTGGCATCAACAGCCTGGGGAAGGCTGGGTCTCAGTGAGTTTGAGCAGGGGTGCATTAACCTGCAAGATAGAGCAACCTAGAGTTGAAAGCTTTCCTCTGCGGGAGGCAGAGTTTCTGTGTGACGGCCAAAAAACCATCATGAGCATTTGGGACTACAAGTCCAGGCTCAATCATTCAGGGTTAAGGGAAAATACTGTTTGGCTCTGATTAAGAAACCATCGAGACTGATAAAAAGCCAGAGCTGGACTCCAGTAGCTCTCATCTCAGAGCTCATTTCCTGCCCAGCCCTTCAGTAGACAGTTACACTACAAGCCACAGAGGGACAGGTGCAGCCCCTGAGGGCTGCCACAGCCATGAAAAGCTAGAGACAAAGAGAGGCATTCCTTTGGACAGGCCAAAGCCACTTCTACCAGCAACCAAGCTGATAAACCAAGCAGCACGGGCATCCCCAGGCACCACGTAGCTGCAGGCAAGGCAGGAAGCACTACTCACGATTAATGCTGGCTGCATTGTTCTGCAATTCCCTTTCCTTCTTCTCCAGCTCAGCTGCCTTCCTCTCTAGTTCTGCCTGCTGCTGAAGCAGCCCGGCCTGTGCTGCTGCAGCCACAGCCTAAAGAAGGTGGAATGAAAGTAAATCCTTCAGCCCTTCCCCACCCAAGACAGTGGCAATGCCAACTGCCAGCACATCAGATGCCAAACTGTAAGGGAAATGCAAATTCAATAGCAAAGGAGGACAAGTTTGAAAACTGAGTGCCTGTGGAACATCCCAAAACTGGCTTCCTGCCTGAAATGCTGGAGCACTAGATTAAAACCGATACAGGACTCAGTCCAGGGGTTCCCCTCAGTTCCCCTCCTAACCTACTGGAAAATAGGGTAGGAGGAGTCCTCAGGAGGCTCCATTCCATCTCCTTTCAGCAAAGCTATGCTTTCCTTGCAGCTGCTTCTACTTTCCAGCTAGCTTTGTTGCTCTGAGTGCCATCCAATACCTCACCTGCAAGGCACACATACTTCCTCACCCTCTTCTCAGTGCCTGTAAGGCAGCAGATCCCCCTGCCTATGGGCTCCCATCAAAGCCTTGCCTCGATCTCCTTTCATTACAAGCTGATTTTTTGGTCTAACAGGGACTTTCCCAGATATAACTTTTGCAAGCTTCAGACCCACTCTTATTTCTTCCATCCCTCAAAGATGGAGTGGCTCCCCAGGAGACCCTCTGACCTCACTGTGCACAGCTGAA